GATACAACTACAAGTTATATCTACAAATGATATACATGAACAATAAATAGATAAAATATCCAAATTACCTTAGAATATGATCCAAAGATACGATCCAAAGGTATGTCCAGAAAATGAACAAGACATGTCGACACACTGAAGATTGAATGTGGATCAATTGTATAATTCAACACCATCTTCCTTACATGAATCCCTGAATTCCTCATACAATTTAAAATAAACTGACAATGGACTTTGTCACCAATTCTAAGTGTTTCAGTGAAATCTGCCGAAATATATAAGATGCCATGCTGGGAAAGGACCACTTGTTAGAAATGTAAACAAAGCCAATCACAAATTTTTACACTGTGTATCCGTTCACCTACTTGTTGCATACACTTGCTCATTTGTTTTAGAACATGCATGGGAAAGGTATCGTAGCAAGCGATAGTTATATACAATAGGTGTAATGTCATGATTTCTTAGATTCATCACAACATATTAGTTTCTGAAAGCGTGACGCCATGACTGACGCAAACTCACACACCAACGATGGTACTTCACTTCACTTAATTTCTGACTATTTCCCTTGGTCACAATGAAAACAAAAAGAAAATAACAACCAGTAGACTGTCAGAATGTTTCAGACTACTTACATGTCACTTTTAGCATATACATTGCTTGAAACAACGAAAGTTTGAGTTTTTGGCTATGTGTTTATGTGATGATGTCGCATAAACAGGATACAAAGATGTGTCAGATCCATTATTCACAGTGCATATGTCTTTATGAAAATAACAACCAGTAGACTGTCAGAATGTTTTGGACAACTTACTTGTCACTTTTATGCATATACATTGCTTGAAACAACGAAAGTTTCCTTTAAAACATCCGGTGTACTCGTCTTAGTGAACACGCCATTTTAAAAAAGTCGCTTTCTGATAGTGATGTCATATGGACGTCAACATTGTTGTACATATTTGGTATTTTCATTGAGGTGAGGTTATGAATGAAAATACACACGATCAATCTGTCCTGCTGCTTACATTTTCTGTTCTTGTTCTTCTTTCATATTTTCACAAACTTTTTAACGTGATTATTTTCAGTATTAATATCTTTTGATTTGGGACTAGACAGGAGACCAGTCTAAAATCAAGTGGCACCAATTATGTCATAATCAAAGGACGGTAACTCTGGCATGTTTAGCTCAGCAAACAAAGGCCTCATAATGGCATAACATTTCAGCACTTATATTGAGGGTTATACTTTCATTGTAAGAAAAATGAGTGTATATTTTAAAACATTGATATTAACAAATTAAAAAGATTCACTTTAACTCACATAAGAATAAATGTGATTTATTTGTGTACACTTCCCCTTTAATAATTATGTAAATTAAAGCATAAAAAGAAACTATATTTCCTTATGATATAGCACCTAAATGTGTGATTTGTCAATGGTTGTCAATGAGACTTTGTTCATACGCATCTGTTTGGGGGATTTTTGGGGGGGAGTAAAATTCCCCATAAGTATTGATTTTGTTACAATAAGAAAATGTGATATGGCTATGGGAGTGTTGTGGAAAATGCATGACAGGGAAATAAGAATAGTAAGTAGTATTTTGTGTGTGTAGTATGTGTTGTTAATTACTTATTCACAGTATGTTAATTATTTAACCGATAATTACTTTTCTTATTGTGAAATTCCTTTCTACGTAAATTTCAAATGCCTAAGCAAGTGTATTTTCCTGTTTGATCAGTACTTGTATTATTTTTAAATGCATAGATCAAAAACCCTCTCTTTTTCGACTCAATTTTTAGATTTAAGAATGAGAAAGAAACTTGTTTTTACACGTTATCTGATTGTAGATTGTTTTAATGATAAACTAAGGCAAAATCACTGACACTAATGTGACTGAAAAGAAATATATGTGGAGCTCTTTGATGTCACAACATTAAATACATTGGGCATGGCAGACTGTATGGCAACGGCATAATATGCCAAGGGCAACCACTCTCACCTTGTGTATAAACTAAGATTAGCTGCCCTTGAGTTATTGAAAAGGTCAAGGCCATTGTTTATCACTTGCAGACACCGATAGTTGCTATGCTTTCCTTGATTATCAAAAAGGTATGTTGTTTCACACTTCTTCCAAAACTGAATCGGGTGGGAATTAAGTACATTATGATATTGACTCAATAGATATGTAGTTCACTACCGCAAAGTGTCGAGGAAAATCATACACTTTTACATACACCAGCAGAAGCCTAAGATCGCGATCATAAGGATTTACAATAATGCAGCATGTGCAAATCTGTGCAAGTGGACGCAGGAGTGGGGAAATGGCTGCAGTCATAATTGCAACTCTCTTCTTAGCTTCTTGAAAGGAGATATTTTACTCATGATTTATCTCAAAGACTTGGGATTTATGTTTCCACAAAGGAATCAATTTAGAAGAGGTCATTCACTTCCCATCTCAGTTTGCACGTTTCATTTCCTTCCTGGTGTGGTGGGGTAACCTAGTGGTTAAATCACGCTCATCATGCTGAAGACCTGGGTTCAAATTCCCTCATGGGTACAATATGTAAGCCCATTTGTGGTGTCCCCTGCCATGATATTGCTGGAATATTGCTAAGAGTGGCTTAAAACTTAACTCAGTCAATCATATCCTTCCTGCAGTCAGTACTCACTTGAATCCATGTCCAAACTTTTGGCGAGTGTAGCACTGAAGAGGACTGGAGACATATACCTCCCCTACAATGCTACAATAACTAGCTTAAATTGATTGTGGAACCTTTGAAGGGGCAAAGGTTAAGGGAGAGGTGTTTGTGTTGAACCACACCATTCTTCTTGACATCAAAACGTTTGGCACCTGTGACACAATTTTTTTCCAGTACCTTAGTTATTTCATCTTCATTAATCGCTGACAGGCAGCATACTCTGTAGCGGAAAATGCCCTTAAACAAGCCCAGTGACTTGTGCACCAAGACAGCTACATTCATAATGACAGCTCTTTTATTCTGAGCGGACGGACAGGTTGCTGTCTCGGCACACACTTAAAACCAAATCAGACCTATAAGACATTTGTAATCTCACCGCAGATACCAACAATAACTTTAGAAATTGCAAATGGATTCAGTTTGATAGGCTCTTTGTCTCGAACTTCAATGACTAAGAAATGTAGGCGGTAGTCAGATCGCATGGACGTAGTTTCATCAGAAGAGGAATTGTCAGAATCAGTATGTCATCGAGCCATAACCCCCTACCCCAAGTTAGTTCAAGACATTGAGGAATTTCTGAATATATGTCTCTGCTTGATGGATAGCAACATGCAACAAGCTCACGTTTATCGAGAGATGAATGAAAGTTAACTTGGTAGTGTTATCTTGGAAAGTCACTCAGTTCTGTCATTATTCATTCACTTGTCATTGCATGGTCTGAGTCAATCGCATCTCCTAATTGTGTTCTTTACCATGCTGTATGGGGAAATTGCAAAATGAATGAGTTTTAGTTGAAGGACCCCCTTACCATCATGAACGGATGAACTGGGTGGTCCACCAAATGCAACAGTTTTGTTTGGGCGTTTGGGTTTGGTCTCTTGCAGTCATTTTGTTAAAGTTGCTCTATGTTCTGATGAAATGCCATTACAATTTTTGTTCATTATACGCTACTCATTTAGAAGAGTATATCACAGCTGCTATTATGTTGAATACCAAATAATTGGTTTATGCTGAGGAAAGATGTTCCTATGTTCCTCGGTAAAGTAAAACAAATATGGAAGTGGTGAGAGGACCCACCAGACTTCCAGTAGCAGGTCATGTGAAGTGCAGTGCAGTGGCTGATTAGGGGTCCAACATACTGACCACTGTCTGTGGAATGTGTTGCAGTGATTGTGGTGGTATTGATGATAGATGAAATGCTTTTTAGTGCCATGTCAGTATTCTATATAATCCCTGTTATGTGCATGGTAGTCAAGTTTGTGTTCTTCACAATTCACACTGAAAGATATTGGAAATACTAGTTTTAATGTTACACCGTAAAGACTGAAAAACTGTGCCATGTGTTTGAGATATTTTACTTTTTTTTATCCAAACTGAAGGAATATAAGCAAATATGATATTTTTCACATGATACAACTTCAACCTGTGTTGATGCATGATATTGAGGCATAGTACCCGTGAGTAGTCCATTCATCAAAAAGAAGCCAAAGTATTGAAACTGGACAGTGGACACGAAAACACATTACTATCCCATGATCTCATTTAGTGAAGACAACTGATTGTTTCATGGCATACAGGCAATAGACCCTTCCTTTTCCAACTGAGCTGTCTCTTATGCATCCATGTTCCCTCTTTCTGATGCCATGAGAGAGTGAGTGAGTTAAGTTTTACACTGCACTCAGCAATATTCCAGCTATATGGTGGCGGTCTGTAAATAATCGAGTCAGGACCAGACAATCCAGGGATCAACAGCATGAACATCGATCTACGCAATTGGGATACGATGACATGTGTCAACCCAGTCAGTGAGCCTGACCACCTGACCCCGTCAGTCGCCTTTTATGACAAGTATGGGTTACTGAAGATCAATTCTAACCGGACCTTCACGGGTTTCTGATGCCATGAAGGTTTATTAGCATCAGGCAGGGATCATAAATAATCATTGAGGTCCAGTCTGTGAAAAGAGCCGAAGCAGACATATTAATACTCTTAACAAATCGTATAGTATTTAAAATATTATGTATTTTTGTTACTGATGCGTCTGTCGGAAATATCATAAATATTTGAGCCAAAATATTTGTGTAAGGTTTACTATGGCCTTGAATGTTCTAACCATGATCAAACATTTTGAACTATCGTTGTATAAATCCACATTGAACCATATTTGGGTTACAGTAAAACATGCATGGTAGGTAGTCTCTGCATCGAGTAATTATCATCTATGTCTATTATGAGAAATCGCACATTACATGTGAACTGGATCTACAAATAGATGGTAAAACTATATGGTTGCTGTGTCAGAACGCCTTGACGAGGCAGGTCACCAACTGTATCAGAAGGTGCACGTGCAGGATATGTACATGGGGAAGGTGAATGCCCTGGACCACTGCCAACGGATAGAACTCACCAGTACCCGCTTCCTGAGAGGTAGGTACAGCAAATATGTCATATATATGGCAATTGTATTTTGCTTCCATCTAAACTAACATCCAAAAGAAACTTGGCTGCCAACTTGAAGCTCGATAGCAGAGAAACAACAAAACATGAATGAACACAAAATAAGCGATAATGGTTAGGGGGAAGGGGGTGGAAGGGAGGTGCATTTCCAAATTTTGCTAGCTACAGTACAACCAGAAATTATTGAGAATTTAAAGATTGTAAATTTTTTAATTTTTTCACTCATTACTCATGTATTAAATGTGAATATTAGCAGAACATAACTCCAGATTCAAAGACAGGTGAACAGTTTGTATTTTGTCAAGTCACCATAGGCAGCAATGCAGGCTTCAATGCGGCGAGGCATACTACTGATCAAAGAAGTTAGAAAGTCATGGTCCATGCTGTCCCAATATCGGACCACCTCTTCTTTCATTTCAGCAATATTTGTCAGATTTTTCTTATTGACACTTTCCTTCATAAGTCCCCAAACATTTTCTATTGGATTTAGGTCAGGGCTATAGCTTGGCCAATCTAATAATGTCATATTTTGGGTCCGAAACCAGGCCTGTGAATGCTTTGAACGATGTTTTGGGTCGTTGTCCTGCTGGAGAATCGAAAAAACATTTCCATAGAACAAGTGAGCAAATGGAAGTAAATGTCCCTCGAGAATATCTGTGTACTGCTCACTGTTCATATTCCCTTCAAATACACAGAGGGGCGTTGCCCCTAACACAGATATGCCACCCCACACTTTAAATTTCGGACTGTACTTTGGGCGCTGATACAAAGGTTTTTCAGTTTGTTTGTTCCAGAATTTCAGTGTATTAGGAACTAGCCACACAGAACTTTCATCTGAGAAAATCACATTGTCCCAGTTAAAATTTCTATGCTGTAAGCACCAGTTCAACCTTCGCTCCTTTTGTTCAGGTTTCATGATTGGTGATGGAATTCCTCGACTTTTCTGCCAACCCATTGCATGCAGCTCAGTTCTAATTGTCTCCTTACAGACAGGCACAGTTCCTCTATCAGTCATATCCAGCCTTAAGTTTTCTAAACTCCTTTGTTTGTTTTTAGAAACAAGAATACCAAGCCGCCCCCTGTAACCAACAGTCAATTTTCTGGGCCTACCTCCGCCTCCCTGGTGCTCAATGCCATATCCATTTTCAATATTTTTCAAAACACGATAAACAGTGGACAATGGGATGGATGCCTGTTCTACTTGAAATCACTTTAGCTGATCTGATGCCCTTGTTTTAATACTCTAAAATCAACTTCCTCTTCTCTAAATCATCCATACTGAGGATCACTGAAAATGTCGTATGCTAGCAAGTAAACAAAGGGGGAAAACTCTTCACAAACTAATGAAAAAGGATTAACAGAGTTGTCTCTCTTGAATGAAACCAAGCACTTGATAGCTGGTCAAGGTTGTTTATTCTAGAAATCCAATTAAACATATTCCTAAAATTCTCAATAATTTCTGGTCATACTATATACCTGAAAGTTACATAATAATAAACTAGCCTGAGATTTGAATGAAACTAAGTATAAGATTTAAATCTTTTAGAAGAATAAGATATTGTCGGCATGCATGGGTCTCATCACTAGGCTGGTACTATGATGAACATTTTTATCAGGCCAAAATCTTGCATGATTTAAAAGTGTATTATTACTTAACAAGTCAGAGAGAGTGATGTATTTACAAAATGACCTCATGAAAATTCACCAGCCAGTCAGTGACTGTGGAGATTTACTGACCCGACTGGATTTTTACGAGCCATGGGCTAGCAGGCCAGTGGCTATTTCGCACACTGGTTGGGGCATGCCCCAGTAAGAAAATTTTCAAAAAATGGTTGCTCTAGGCAGTATTTTCTGCTGTATCTTCTTGAAAAATGGTATTTCAAACTTTTCATAATTATATATTTTCATAGAGAAGTTGCTGAAATTGAACTGATAAATTTAGTATTCTTACAAATATTTTACAACATATTTAACTCATTAAGCCTGAGAGCCACCTCACTACTCAATACCTGGAACCCCTCGCTGATTGCCCACTCGCTGTGCCGAGACTAATTAGTGCTAATCACACCTGATTTCCCTGGCAGGTTTCGGGGATGACAGGAAACTGTCTAGTCGTACAAACAAGTCCTGATTGTTTAATTGTGTCATAAAAATATATGTTGCAGGAAAGCAGGTGTGAATACATATCGTATATTGCAAAGTTTTATGTAATTTGATTGCAAGTTTCTCTTGTAGACCTTTGGTGGCTTGTACATTTATATTTTATCACAATATGCATGTATTCTTTGTATGCAGGGTTTTACATGACGTGGGATTCCTGCGTATTTGACGCAACACTTTTGTTAAAGACTCTCAAAATATTATCGTACGAGTCAAACTTGACGCAAGCATTACGAGTGACCCTCAGAATTCAGTTCAGAGTCAATAAAATCGATTTGATAGCAACAATGATAGTTTTTGTGAGGTCTTCATTAATTTAGATATTTCTTTCAATTCATGTTAATAGCTGTATGTTACAGTGAATGAATCACAAGCCTGAGTATGTGTTCAGTATACTGGAATTCGTTATGAATGAACTGAACAGTGAAAAATATACTATTTATTAACTAACATATAAATGACAATACAACACAAAACAAGAAAAAAAAAATGTGTCCAGGGACACGGATGCCCCCAATGCTGTAGGAAGAGTTCCCTACACTGATTGTGCTCTGGTGATTAATTTCTACTAAATAAATATCATGGTTGATTATGAAATTATGTCCCAATGAACTTACCACAGTACAGTTAAACCTATATCATGAAGGTTGATGGTACAAGGGTAAATAACCTAGTAATTGCAATATCACTGTGGAGGCAAGTGAAAGCAATAGATTGCTGTAGAAGCTAAAGTGGTAAGTTTTGGCATATTCTGGAACATATTCAATATGGCAGGTTAACCCCCTTGATGCCGATTTTTTTTTCAGGCGCACATTTTCATACGGTTTGAAAAGTGAACCTTGTGCGAGAATTGCGCTCGCAGTGGTCCTGGATCTACGTACGGCTATAAAATTACACAGAAATGTAGAATATTAAATTTCCTATTGGTTGGTATAAATATAAGTGCAACTACCTTGGCGGTTTGAGAAATAGACACTGCTAAATGTTGTCCAAAGTTTGTTATGCGTTTAAAAACAGTAAATTTATCCGCTTTTTATCGCGCACCGATAAAAGCACTGTGCTACAAATTTTTTAATGTGGCATCTTTACGGAAAGTGTGAGCAAAGAAAATACAGCCTGATATCTGAACGACATAAGTGTATATGAATTAGGTTTATGTGCTTGTGCACAACGTTATACACTCAACATTAAAATGACTCGCAATAAGTGTCAAAAATGGAGGTCATACACGTATTATGATAAGGGGGCATAACTCCGTTATGCGTAACACTAGGTCAGTGTAACTCAGGTCAATTGGAGAGAATTTGTTTTGGATACGGACGCTATATTTTTGTTATTTTATGTTTATGGTAAACCAAACTATTCCAATTCAAAGTTCCCCAATGTGAGCGGATGCAGTTTGGTAGTTTCACAATTTACAAGAAAAATGACGTCTTACATGTGAAAGCACGTAATAGCGATTTGGATGGCCCTATCCGATATATAAGTTAGTTCTTAGATTCCCATATTCTCCTGTTTGTGTAGATGTATTTTGACTAATTTTGCATTGTTATTACCAGAATACTAGCCATATCTTCAAATGTAATGAAATTGCTGAAATAATACATTTTAGTCGACGTCATTGCTTGTTTTATGCATTTTGCGACGTCGGAAAAAGATGACATTGGTATGCTGATTAGTATATATCTCATCTAATTTCCATTAATTGTATAAAAGGTCTCGGCTTCTACGTCAGAATTTAACACTCTTTAGACAAAACATAAAATGACTGATATTTCCATTTAAATAGTGTCCTGAATATATCATCAATCAGACGGCTTGACAGTGTATCTTATTGTGAACAACACGCGCACCTGTTTGGCATCAATTTAACGTAAATAAAAATAATATTTCACAACACCCAAGTATTTTGTTTGGGATAAGAATTTTGTTTGTTTATGATTATGTAGCTATTTCTCTTCATACGTATGCAATGAAAGATGCAAAAAGATACCTTTTTATATATGGAACTATATATTAGAATATGGATGTAAGATTTGTCCGAATTAACACATGAGATGGTATATATATTTTTCAACAATTTTTCTATAAATGTAGTTAGAGTTTGATATCCTGTCATCACAATATTATTTAATCAATTATGAATTGATTATATTATGGAAAACAATGATAGAGAATCATAAAACGTTTCCAACAAACGCGCACCTGGCCAATCAATATGCATCATTCTTTTGTCTATAAAACGACACAAAATTATGCAATGAACAAGACAATTCCTTTAAATATGTGTGCATATACATGTCATACCATATATATATATATCATTTTCATTAATATTATCAGTTTACATATAAGGTTGAATTAAATCACCGTTCATTAACCTGTTCATATGAAATTGCAATATTAGTCGAAATAAATTGAATATTGTACATCATTGGAACTAAAGAAGTTGCAGTTATGGCTACGTTTGATCTTCTAACACTTGTGTAAAGGTTTAGAATATGGTGTATTGCACTAAATATGTCAATTTCTTATGTAAATATGATTCAAACAATCAAAAACTTTCAAAGAATAAAACACTGTAAACCCTATATGCACGTATGATGTGATATTGAACAAGGCTAAATGTAGATACTGAAGTCAGTTTCATGAAAAAGTATCTGAACTATACGCAAAATATACACCATAATACTGACAGTGTAATCGGAAGGATTGGGCGATTGTGTTTACTCTTGTTCAACCGACCTTCACCTCAAAGAAATTGCCTAATATGTAGAACAATGTTGACGTATGACATCACTACCGCTGAC